GAGAGAGAGAGAGAGAGAGAGAGAGAGAGAGAGAGAGAGAGAGAGAGAGAGAGAGAGAGAGAGAGAAGGAGAGAGAGAGAGAGAGAAAGGCTGGGAGGTTTTCGTTGCCCCCTGTCCGCGATCGGGGATTCGGCTGAGGTAAGGGTACCCGAACAGGCTCTTGCTCACGGTGCTCTATTGTGGCGGGGTCGGCGAAGGGGTAACGGGCAGTGGGCATGCAGGCCGGCGGGTTGCGCGCCAACAGCAGCGGGGGAGCTAAAACAAAAAAAAAGAGATTCCGCCGGCGGCATCGATCGGGCTCCTGGCCCAGCAGAGTATCAGGATTCCTTGTTGAAGGCTCTCCACTTGGGTCGATCTTCGATGTGAGCCCAGCAGAGTATCGGGCTCCTGGCCCAGCAAAGTGAAACTCCCGGGGGCACAATCGGTTTTCGGTTAAGCACGGAAACTCCGAGCATCTCTGTATGAGACACTCTCTTAGTTCCCAAGAATCAAAATACTCCGAATCCCACGACGAATATGAGTCCCTCGAGTACGTCATCTTGTCATCGTAAAGCTGCAGAATTCCTTAGTGCGTGTTTACCCAGCTGGGGAATTTCTGGGCTCGGCGTTCAGAAATTTTGTACCTATCCTGATGTTTGACGATTGCGAATCACCGCGTGTGAGTACGTGTAGGCCGCGCAAATTGGATCGCGTTTACACGTATTCACAAGGGAAGGTCGCTTCGTCATGGATGCAAAAATGGCCACTGAATACATCCAATCATTCAATATCCCTGCTATCGTTGGTCTTTTCAGGCGTGAGCGGGCAACACATACATCAAGACCTTGCAATCGGCATCAACTACTTTGTCTAGTATGAGCAAAAACGGAAAGAGAGGCGGCAATCACACCATTCATTACATGTCATGCAACATCCATTCAAACAATCAAAATATCCGAAATACTGAAAAATCCCAATTGATTACGAGCAACATGTGCTTAGACGAGGATGTCTAAGGCAAACGATGGGCAGATCGCCCGAGACAGAAATCCAAGCTCACAAAAGAATAGTCGAGACAGAGGTGCCGAAAACAAAATAAAAACGAATCGCTCGTTATCGAACCCAAAACTTATATACAAGATGAAGGAGGAGACAAAGAAAATTGTAAACCCACGTCCATCAACTTCAGCTCTCTCTTTTTCTCTCTCTCCGATGCAGACAGTTCGTCGTCGCGCACCAACCCACGAAGTCGTCACCCCGCTTAGTCATCCTTCACCCGTCAAGTTGGCCCGCGCCCACAGTCCGTCGTGGCTCGCGTTGACCCCGCGCGTTTGGCACCAGCTCGTCGGGTCGCCCGACTCCCACTTCAACTCACCTCTTACTTCGCTCGTGAGCCGACCCTCACTTATCATGCTACCCCGAGCTTCCAATAGCTGGTTAAGAGAGCTATCTTATCGCGCATCTGAAATTTATAGCGTGCATGCATGCGCGAAGAACACGGAATTACAAGGACTTAGAAAGAGGATCAGGGGAGGGAGCGCCTATGTTCTACATGGCCAGATCGTGGCGTGGGGTACGTAGCCTCTCTCCACCCATCGATCCGAGCATGCAGTCTGCGGGTTGGCTAGACACAGCAAGAGAAAAAGCGAGGGCGGGAAAGACGAAGCACAAGAAGAAAGATACTGTTACAATGGCGCCCGCCTAAAATTACAGTTACACACACGATTAAGGGCGCCGACTAATCAAAGCTCCGTTAGAACCACAAAATAAAAGAAGCGCGTGAGCAAAAAGCGTTGCGTGGCAACAGAAAATCCTAAATTCCAAAATTCCAAAATTCCTATCTAATGCAGAAAGTCGAAAGCACAAATTCCGAAAAGAAGATCCTAAGTCCCGAGAGCCACCAAGGCTCGACAAGATTCGCGTAAGAATTCAAAAATTCAAAAAGAATGACGAAAAATGCCCGCGCGGTCTCCGCGCCCAAATTCCGATAGCAGAAACAAAAAGAAGCAACGTCAACCATTATTATTTGTGCGCTCGCGGCGGCGCACACCCATCAATCATCCCAGGGACTTGCCCGGGCGTGACCCCCGCCATCCGAAAAGAAGACGACGCAAAAAGACGAAGAAGCGAGGACACCGATGCAATTTCCCTTCAATCCCGATCTTCCGTAATTGGCCTAACCTTCCCATCTTATGAATTCTCATTGTCATCGTGCAGAAAATTGCGCGGAACAGAAATCGGTTTGTCACAGCCCTTCCTTTGCGTCACCTTCTGTTTCACGCAACTAAAATAAAGTAACTAAGCTAATCTCAAACCTGTTGGACGATACAAATGCGTATCAGACCAACTAAACACCTACTCTCATAAGAAAACTATTAGTTTATAGGTAATTAAGAGGCATAAATAAACTGGGATGCAGCTATTATTTCCCTCTCATGGGCAAGTAAGAATTGTCATCAGAGTCGCGAGTAGCGAGTTATACCTTTCTTATCACCGATAGGCTCTCTTGACCACACCACCGCCTTGGACATGGATGGAAATCACTAGTCTCCATTGTGCCGGTAAACAGGGAATTTCATCCGAATCATCTCTGGTCGTCTCCCATGGCCGGTCTCTCATCCAGATGACGCAGATGGCAAAGGTAAATACCTATCCCTTCACCCCAGGAGGAACACCCGAGCCTCGACTGGAAACTCCCTGCCCCTTGGTATTCCACAGGGGGAAACGCAGTAAAACTATACCGCGCGGGAGATGGTTGTTATCTTGAAAAGAACAAGAAGGACGCCCTAACTCCAACTCCAAGCCCTAGCGCACAATCCTCCACGGAAAACGCCTACACAGTAGACGATGTAACGCAGGATTAGCGCAGCCTAGGTTGGCCCTATTGCCTCCCCCCGGGATGGTTTCTTATTGGTCCTCACTAAAACGTTCTCCCTGCCTTTGCGCGTCACACACTCTAGTTTTCTAAAACTACACGGCGCATGTGGGACTCGGCCCCGGTGGGTGTGGTCTGGTGTGGCGAGGCCCTGTTTCCCACGACCTTTGTCTGTTCGGTCAGTTGTGGCCCGGGAACTTTGTTGCCTTTTTCTGTTTGATCCACTTCTGCCTATTCAGAGACGTCCTTGCTGATCTGGCGCAGTTGATGGTTGTTTTTTCCCCGAGGGAGCCATTTACAAGACGCCTCACTAGACGCCTCAGCACTGGCTCCTCCAAGTTGGTGGTGGATCTCAACCAGAGTCCTTGTTGTGCTGGCGCAGTTGATCGATCACCACTTCCCCTCCCTGAGAGAGCCACTCGGTAGACACCTCCGCACTAAATCCCCCAAGATCCTACTTGTGGAGGCGTACGACGCTACAGGTGCACCCACATTCCACTTGTTCATCTTCAAACTGGCGGATCCCAGGTAAATTCATCGTTATTTTACTTATCTGCATATTTCAACAGTTCATGGGTGTGCCAACTACGCTAGGCCCAGTTGGTACATAAACCCTTGGCAATCTTTGAGAAAAAAAAGCGGCAACAGCTCGTGGGTCACAACCAAGGTTCGTAATAGGCAAAAAAAACAGTAGTCCGCAGGTCCATCCCGAACTTAGGCTTGGACCCCACCGCCCGGCGGCTAGAAAAGTTTTGGCATGGAAGGGCATTTTCGGACCCCACCGGGTCGCCAGGCAGTTCGCCACCTCGTCTGGCGACGTCGAGTTCAGACCCCACCGCCGTTGCCGAAAGACCGCCAACCGTGTTTCTACATGGGTGGCGGATGGAAAAGTCTCCGCCCGCGGCCGGCGCTCTTTTCCAAAACGCCCTCGAACAAGGCGGGGAGGGCAAAGCGCCAGCCGTTGGCATCGGAGGCCGTGGAGGAGTGGTCCATTGAACGGGCATCACGGACAAACGTTTGGTCCAGGCCGAGACCCCACAAACGAAGTGCATGTCGCACGAGATATCAGAACTGGCCGTTGGTGGTCCCCGTAGGTGGTCCCCCGCTGTGGTCCCTCTGCACTCTGCAAAGCAGGAAGGCGCAATTCAAATTTTTGTGGTGCGTTAACGGTTTTTTTCGAAATCTGCAACAAGTACTTAGGGCGGAGAAGAGGCAGACAGTCCATCGCACTGTGTGTCGTTCATGTATCCGCGATTGCACGTTCCCGCCCTTCATTGTTCGCGGTTGTCTTCTTCGAAGTGACGTGGGGTCGAAGGTCGATCTGTCGTGCGCTTTCTCTAGAACATTGCTTGTTTTGGCGGTGGGCGTTTAGTCCAACGCGCTGCCACGTCGCACGTGCGTGGTCTCTGGAGTCGTCATTGGACGCATTCAGATGCCTGCGCCGCAGTTCGAACTCTACTGCAGATCCCTGTGTTCAGCTCGGGATGTGCTGCTGCGCGAGCTTGTTTTCGTGGAAGCGGGTGTGCTGACGTGGTGGTTTCTTCGATTATCCCGTCATTTGCTCCCAGGGTGGTCCCACGAACACCCTCATCAACGTCCTATGTCACACACTGCACGCGATCTCCATTCGGCAGTGGATGTCCTCCACTGTGGAATCCATCATTGGAGGTTCGCAGTCCTCCCGCCGAACGTCAGCACGTGAATACAGGGCACGTGGTGATCGAACAGGGAAGTCGTCCATCAACACATTCGGCTTCCGGGGTTAGTCGCTGGTGTTCCTTCACGGATTGTCCTGTCGTTTCCATTGTGGGTAACGGGTGCGGTGTGACACGTGTAGGCGGTTTATCACTGGTCGTTGTGTCCCTTGTGGTCGCAGCAGTCATTCTCATCGTCGTCTTCGTAGTGGGGGTGTTGGTGTTGTCCATACTTGTTTTGTTTCTTGCCATTGTGCTTGTGTCCAAGCGTCGGTAGTCGACCCCGACATGGGTGTGGCGAAAGGTGCCGCCTTTGGTTCCCGTTTGTCTGTTCTTGCAGCTAGCAAGTGTGCGATGGATCGCATGGGTTGGATGGGTGATGTCGTCGGTGGTTTCGACGGCGGTGATAACATGAACGATGGACAGCTGAATGCACGGCCCCATCAAGGTCAACAAGCACAAAGCATGCAATCATTCGCAGTCATGCGTCAATCCTCATCGGCCATGCAACATCCGTACTACCATGCACGCAGTGCGTCTCCGCATACGCCCTTCATGGGAGGGTGTGTTGGGCAGTCCCCGGAGAGCATACAAACGTCGGGTGTTCCACGTGGTGGTCCACATGCGCGGGACATGCGGGCGGACGACGTTTTCGCCGTTCGTGATCATCCTTTGTCCGTCCAGCAACAGTACGATTTGTATGGATCGCAGGGATGCGTAGAAAGCACGAGCATGGCTGCTGGCTTTGGCATGCCATCAGCGCCCACACAGCATGGCCGCGGGTGGCAGGCATTGGTCTCCCCAATGCTTCCAGGGTGCTGGGAGGTTGTTCGGCGCGCGTTGTTCTCCATCTCCACCGGATGGCGTTGACACAGATGCCCCTTGGAATCGGGCGAACGCAAGGCCTGTGTCCCCCGAGACTCGCGCGGAGTCAGTGTACGATGAAGGCACGGGGGGCTCAGGAGCGGGCGACGAAGATGGTCAGGGAGAGCAAGGAACCGCCATTCCCATGGTCGTTAGTTCGGCGGCCGGGCAGGGTGATGTTAACGGCCAGGGCGCGCGCGGTGCAGCGGTCGGCAGACAACCTGCGAATGACCGCCCGCCAGCTCAGAAGAAGGCAAACGTCCCATGGACGTTGGATGAGCGGGTGAAGCTTGCGATTTTCATGGGTGAGGATGATGCCCTTATGGTGGATGCTAACGGCCAGCACCGATTCAAGCAGAGGAAAGAGCGGTATGCATGGGTGAATGATAGGATGGCGGACGCAGGCTTCAAGCATAGGAGTGGTGAAGACTGGCCCAAGAATTGGTCGAACATGCTAGCGACGGCCAAGCTCATCGTCGAGAAGTGTGAAGCGTATTGGGATATGTCTACGGAGGAACGAAAGAAGAAGAGCCTCCCACTTTCGTTTGAGAAGGTTGTGTGGGATGCTATGCAGTGGCAGCTAAATCGGTCGTCAATTAGGTGTGACAACACGCTGGCCTCAGAGAACCTTCCGGGCGGTGGAACAGATGCAACACCGGCGGGAGGATCGGACGGAAAATGGGCAGAGGAGTCGGACAATTCTGCTAAATCAACGCGGACAGCTCAGAAGAAGGCGAGAAAGGAAGATCCTGGCAGCAGCGTGTCGAGTTTGGGCAGGGCCATGGAGGATTCCACTCGATCTTATTGCGATGGCCTGGACAAAGCGGCTTCCACCCTTTGGTGTGCAATCGCCGCTCGGATAGGGACGTGGCCGAAGCAATGCGGGGTGGCAATAGTGTTCTAGAGTTGCTAGTGAGTGTCCTTGCTCGTAGGGGGGCGAACGTAGGTGACGACGGCGAAGGTCTGACTCATCGGTTTACGGACCCTTCGTCGAGGTGATCACTTTTTTTTGTCGTTTGGTTTCTTCGTGTTTGCGCTTTGATATCTTTGTATATAGATTTACGAAGTTATATATATATATATATATATATATATATATATATATATATATATATATATATATATATATATATATATATATATATATATATATATCTTCTCCCTCTCTGCCTACGGTTT